TCTCAATTAAAGTTTCACTCAATGTGAAGGAATACTTGTAAATGTTATTTGAAAAATAGATTTGATTTCAGGCATTTACCTATAAGGCCACCTCCAATTCTTCATCAAATATTCCATCAAATTTAAATTTGATGAAAAGCGCATTAAAACTTATTTCTAACTATTTCATCAAATTGATATCAAATGAATGGAGAGTTAAATTTTTTATCAAATCAAAGGAGTTTTATCATTTCGTCAAATTTTATAGATAGCCGTTGGACTTCAAATTTTGCAGATTACAGATGTTGCTCTGTCTATAAATAACAATGCTCTGGTTTTTATTCTCACAATATCACGATTTTCACAATTTCTTATTTTTTTATCATTCCAAATGTCAATTTTTACTCATGGCTAGACGTCTGCCCAAACAACCAAACTTGTAACAAGGTGTGATGAAAATTTTAAATTTACTATTAGAGTGCATCATATTAGATCAAATTTCTCATCAAATTTTTACTCAGATATAATAAAAAATTTGATGAAGCCTTCGAGATGCTCTAAGATGATGATAAAATGTAGAAATGCTTTTCTAACCGTTACAAGTAAGTTCACTGAAATCATTCATATATGATGTGCTCTTTATCTGTATTTATGTAGGAGTAGATATGTAGACTGACAGTCTTTATTTTACTGTGTTTATTTTCTGTCAAGGCCTCCAAGATTGATACTAGTATTGTTTCATCATTTCAGGAAATGAAGCCAATATATTCAAAAACCAATCATGCTACATAAAAAAATTATTCATAATTTTATCCATAATTGAAATATATGAGGATGAAGAGGATTTATATTGGGATGATGAAGCCAGAGGGCATGGTGACATCCATGGGTCACACCCAAGTATACGTTTCTACCATAATGTTGATTTTCCAAAGATGGTTCAACAGCTGAATTGGAGAAAGGGATGGTTTTCAAGGATAAAGCAAGCCTGAGGCATGTTGTTTATTTGTATAACGTAAAGTGTGATCAGGAAGGCGTGGTTGTTGAATCAAAAGAAAGAAGCTGGGTGTCAAAGTGCAAGCACGACTGCAACTGGACGGTCCGAGCAACGAAGCTGAAGAATAAAGATTTCTTTGAGATAAGAAAGTTTGAAAGGCTGCATCATTGTGTTTACCCGAGGATGACTAGGGATAATAGTAACCTCAAGTCTAGTGTTATTGTCCATTAAATCAAGGGACAAGTTGCAGTAAGCTACGTGTTTAATTACTATGGTGACAACAACTTGCCAACATTTATTGTTTTTGTTTTTTTTTGGCAATCCACCACTTTCGTGACTTGTCCTGTTTAATTGTCATTGAGAGAGATTTTATGAGCTGAAATGGGCCATGGCAAAGGCCGAGCAAGTTGAGTGCCGAACACGTTTGGGTGGCGGTAGCTTGGGCTTGTCCAGAGAGGTTTTGCTTGGTTAAGGCAAAAGGGCCATGTTGGACCGAGCTACTTGGGCTCGTTTGTGTAGAAATCGGGCTACTTGGGCTCAGATATGCCGCGCAGCGCAATCATAAGAAGCTGAGGTGGTTCCGCCGGACTGCCGGGCTTCGCCAAGATATCCTAACAGTTTGGTTAGGTGGTGATTGTTGGATTTGTACTGATAGATGGGATAGCAGCACCACGTGCCGAGAGACTAATGGGAGTAGATTTGGGGCGCAGAAGGTATACAAGCGTGTCTGCACCCCCCATGCTGAGGCAGATGATCATTTGGTGAGATAAACATTCAACTCTCTCCTCTCTCTCTCTCTCTCTATCCCTGAGTGTGTGCTAACTTGACCATCGGAGGGGTTTTTCGGCCACACACCGCCGGGTAGCTCACCCCCGTTGTGTTCGCAGATCGATCGGACGGACAGGGAGCTTGAAAGAAAGGAGTACGGGCTCGCCAGAATATTTGCTCCCCGTACAGTCATCTATTGCAATGACTTGTCATTACGTGTTTACAAGCATCGAGTTTATTAGACATTGCTTTTTTTCAATAGCGTTCTATCTCAATGACTTGCCATGTCATCATATGACATTGTGGGGCTTTTTTCAAATTAAGCCAAATTAGCAACTTAATCCCCAAACTAGGCCTAGTTTGGACGAAATTCCTAAACTAGGCTAAAGCGCTATTACAAATCACGCTTTCACTGTTTGGAGCAGAAAATTTGATGAATAGTGAAAGTGCTATTACAAAACACGCTTTTAATTAAAAAAGCGTGGTTACAAACTATGCTTTTAAGATAAATTTGTTTTCTGAAGAAAACATTACTGTGTATATTGTTTAAATTTTGTTTTCTGAAGAAAATGATTCCAAACCATGCTTTCACTGTGCATATTTGTTTTCTTAAAAAAACTTTTAAAATATATTAAAATGTGATTAAAATAAAACTTGAGTTCTTTGTAGCTCAAATGGTAGTGCATTTGTTTTGCACCGCAGAGGTGCGGGTTCAATCCACGGCAATTCCAAACGGTTGCCTCCTTTAAAATTAAATTCAACTCTTTTTTTTTTTTTTTCCTTCCACTCACTTTATACTTTATATATTTATTATGTAATTTTTTTATCAAAAATAAATAAAATGCTTGTTTGGTTAACTAAATTTTTTTTCTATAAAATATAATTTTTTTCAAAATGTCAACATAATTGTTTAAAAAGTATTCAGTGTATTTGGTTTGAGTTTTTTGGATTTAGTTATTTGAAAACTGAGTTTTTTTATTTTCGTATTTTTTTGTTTTTAGTGAATATTTTTAAAATTTTAAACATTTTTTTTTACTTTTTTAGATGCACCTTAGTTAGATGTATCTAAAACATAAAAAAATTGTGAAAAAATATTTTAAAAAATTAATAAATACATAAAAATAAAAATAAAAATGTACTGAATTTTTTTTTTTTGTATTTTTAGTATTTTTTCAGAAAAATATTAATTTTTTCAGCAAAATATACTCAAAAAAATATGCACAGTGAAAGCGTACTCAAAAAATGTACTCAAAAAATATTTTTTCAGCAAAATGTACGCTTTTAAAATGTACTAAAATATTTTAAAAGCATACATTTTTTAATTTTTTCATAAATATATAAAGTATAGAGTGAGTGGAAAAATACAAAAAATACAAAAATACAAAAATGTAAATGATAATTTGCTGAAAAAATACTAAAAATATTTTTTCAGTACATTTTTTGTATTTTTATGTATTTATTAATTTTTTAAAATATTTTTTCACAATTTTTTTACTTTTTAGATACATCTAACTAAGGTGCATCTAAAAAAGTAAAAAAAAAATGTTTAAAATTTTAAAAATATTCACTAAAAACAAAAAAATACAAAAATCAAAAAACTCAATTTTCAAATAACTAAATCCAAAAAACTCAAACCAAATACACTGAATACTTTTTAAACAATTATGTTGACATTTTGAAAAAAATTATATTTTATAGAAAAAAAATTTAGTTAACCAAACAAACATTTTACTTTTTTTTGATAAAAAAATTACATAATAAATATATAAAGTATAAAGTGAGTGGAAGGAAAAAAAAAAAAGAATTGAATTTAATTTGAAAGGTGACAACCGTTTGGAGTTGCTGTGGACTGAACCCGCAGCTCTACGGTGCAAAACAAATGTAATACAATTTGAACTACAAAGAACTCAAGTTTTATTTTAATCACATTTTAATATATTTTAAAAGTTTTCTTAAGAAAACAAATATGCACAGTGAAAGCGTGGTTTGGAACCACGTTTTCTTTAGAAAATAAAATTTAAACAATATATACAGTGAAAGCGTGATTTGGAACCACGTTTTCTTCAGAAAACAAACTTATCTTAAAAGCGTGATTTGTAACCACGTTTTCTTAATTAAAAGCGTGTTTTGTAATAGCGCTTTTACTATTCATCAAATTTTCTGCTCCAAACAGTAAAAGCGTAATTTGTAATATCGCTTTAGTCTAATTTGAGAATTCCGTCCAAACTAGGCCTAATTTGAGAATTAAGATAGTAATTTAACTTGATATGAGAAAAACCTCTCACATTGCTTTATCAAACTTTTTGCTTTATCATCATGATGAGTAAAGTGTGGTCTTTTCACATTCAACTTTAATCATTATACCTACTAACTTAGAAAAGACAACTGCTATACACTACATCCTTTAGTCTTAACAATAGACAATCTTGTCAATAAGTACCGACTTTGACACTAAGGAGTATTTTAAAAAATTGATAAAAAATTAATTTTTTATTTTTTATTAAATTTTTTGAATTTTTAAAAAGTGATTTAAAAAATTGGTAAAAAATTACTTTTTTATTTTTTAAATTAATATTTATTTATAATGTCACGTCACAATAAAATGGTCAAAATATCCACCTAACTTCAGAAATTTACTGTTTGACCCATTTTTGGCTCATTTAACTCCTTGTTGAAACAAGGAGGATAGTCATGTAATTCCACCCTTGGCGTTTTGCAAACATCCCAAATACTCATCTAGCTTTTTGGCTGCGTTTTTGGCCTAACTGAGGCTACGTTTTTGGCTGCAAAACGCAGCTTTTAATTCTGTTGCCAAAAGACCACTAAATTGATACCTGTTTCTGTAAATTGCACACCAAGTTACCTCAAATTTTAATAATGTGATTTCTCACTTCCTATTTAATAGAACCTATTGTCTTCGTTCAAATACACAACATGGTTGCACGCGTCATAGCTACGGATGCAAATCACACTAACCAAGGTCGTAGTGGCTTTGGAATGAGGGAGAGTTCTCGACAAAAATCACAAAAAATAAAATAGATTATACATGCGGTTATATTGATTCCTCTACGTTTCTACGTAGATGGGTTACTGTTGTGGAGTTTAAAACATCTAAGGGGTTAAAATTGCTCTCCTTGCAAAGATCCTAATCTCAGCAAATATTTTGAATTTCCCACATTATTTGCAAAATGAGTTTAGTGTGAACACAATTGGCAACATTTCTTTCATAAAACGGGTCATTTACAAATCCAGTGCATAGAGCAAATAAGCAGCAAAGCTCATTAATACAATCAAAAGATTGACAGTTCATCTAAACATAACACAGCATTTTACAGCTCCACAAGCCATGCATCCAATATCCAATATGAAAGGTTGCGCAAATAAACAATGAAACAAGGCTCATATGCAATCTACGTTGGCCTTTAAAATGAATCCTCTATACAATTTCATTAGGAAGATGCATAAATATCACTTCTGGAACATGAGAAGGAATTAAATGATGTCAATAAAAAGAATTTTTCATTTTTGATAGACAGAAATTGGCACATAAATTGTTATGAAGTCCACAGATAGCAAGGAAAGCCAATCTTTCAAAGGATAAGAACTAAAGAAAACTAGCTCTCTGTTTTCGCAGCACCAGATTCCGAGAGCAAAGGTTCAAGCTCCCCTTTCCGATATAGTTTAACAGTATCTGTGAGGAAAAAAAGAAAAAAAAAGCAACACGAGAGTCAAAAATTTTATCTGATTCTTGTACATTTCAGTTTTAATAACAACATGAATCACACAATCAATCTTCTAGATCTGACCATGTAAATTGCCAGGCACTGAAGCAGATACAAGGGAGTATATTTACATATATATAGCCAGGAAGGCCAAATTTTGGATAATTACACTTTGCACCAAATCTCACTTTAGTCCGTACACATGAAATCGTGACAGTCAACCCCCTACACTTCTGTGTCAATTTTTCCATTCTGATACTCCATGGTTTAAGTCTTTACCAGAATCTAGTCATGTGATAAGCATGTGACTACGAAATGAGAACAAGAAAGGAGAATCATCCTCATTTCCCACTAATATACACTTTGTCTATGTGAAAGTTATATAATACAATATATATATATATATAGCAAAAAAAAAAAAAAAAAAAAAAATGGGGAAAAAAAAAAAAAAAAAAAAATTTTTGAAAAAAAAAAAAAAAAAAAAAAAAAAAAAAGAAGAGAAATGAAGAGGAATAGACAAAAGATTGTCACTGTGGAAAACGAAGTCTCGTGATTCCAACTTTTGCAAAACCCGAGTTCATCTCCTTAATCGCCCACAATCTACATTTTGTTTTAACTGAATACCATCAAAAATTGATGTAAAATTTGGGACGAAATGTGTAAAGACAGAAAATTTGGGTGATTTTCTTCTTTTGTCCTCATTTTATAGTCATGTATGCTTGCCACGTTACTGATTTCTATTAAAGACTTATACGGTTAGGGAGGACATTGACACTTGACCAGAAGTGTAAAGGATTGACTGTCACGATTTTATGTGCAAGGACCAAAGTGAGATTTGACTGGAAGTGCAGGGGGTTGACTCTCACAATTTCATGTGTAAAGACCAAAGTGAAATTTGGTGCAAAGTGTAATTTACCCCCAAATTTCTCATTATTATAACTACCCAATATGGTGTAAAAGTTGGAAGTATTGATTTATTACAACATTTACCAAATCAAAAAGAAATGGAACAGGTTTCAGGGTCTAAGAAGACAAATTACAATGATAACTCCAAGGGATTGACCTAGTGGGTGCAACTTAGGACCTAAAGGTGTGCTCCCTCCAGGTCTCAAGTTCAACTCCCACTAAGGGGTTGTTTGGGATGATCTAAATAAGTGCACTTTTTGTCTTTTTACGAAAAGATGTACAGAAAAGTAGAGAGATGATGGGATGGAAGAGTAGGTGGTAGTAGGTGGTAGATGGAGTAGGTAAAGTGGAGGTGGTAGTGGTGTAGTGGGTTAGGTTTAGTGGAGTAGGTGAGGTGGTAGTGGTGTAGTGGGTTAGGTTTAGTGGGTGAAGTAGGTGATAGGTTTTAACAGCCCCCCGAAAACTCAAGGGGGATAGGAACTAACCAACTTGAGTTTGGAGAGAGTAACAAAACAAGAAAATAATCTGAAAAATAAAAAATGGATAGGAAGTTGACTCTCACAATTTCATGTGTAAGGACCAAAGTGAAATTTGGTGCAAAGTGTAATTTACCCCCAAATTTCTCATTATTATAACTACCCAATATGGTGTAAAAGTTGGAAGTATTGATTTATTACAACATTTACCAAATCAAAAAGAAATGGAACAGGTTTCAGGGTCTAAGAACACAAATTACAATGATAACTCCAAGGGATTGACCTAGTAGGTGCAACTTAGGACCTAAAGGTGTGCTCCCTCCAGGTCTCAAGTTCAACTCCCACTAAGGGGTTGTTTGGGATGATCTAAATAAGTGCACTTTTTGTCTTTTTACGAAAAGATATGCAAAAAAGTAGAGAGATGATGTGATGAAAAAAAGATAAAAAGATGGATTATATAGGGGATGCCAAACCACCCCTAAATGCTATCAACCCCTCGGGGCGCGGACTCTACCCGAGATCTGCCCGACCATGTGGAGGGGGCACTTTGTGTGGGTCCCGAGATTAGTCAAGGTGCGCGTAAACTAGCCTGAACATCCAATCATTAAAAAAAAAATACAATTATTACTTATTAATCCCCCTAGGACAACCCAGCACGCATTAACCCAATTAAAAGACTCAAGTCGAGTCTCCTTACCACTATACAAAAGGAAAAACAATGAACAATTTCTAATGCACAAAGCAAATGACATGACCCTATAAAGCAAATCACTTTAATCATTAGTCATATCATATAATTAAGATCCACAACCTCAATAAAACTTGTACAAATTAAGGACCATAATAATAATAATAATAATAATAATAATAATTATAATAAACCAACTGATAAGTTCTGATAAATGGCATGGTCATTAAAAAAATAATAATAATAAGGGAGTTAAACAAGGTACCTGTACAACCGCCAACGTGATTGCCCCCTGGTCATGGAAAAGACATAGATGATTCAGCAATTATTTTCTTGAATGTCCAAGCAAAAAAGCAAACACATACTTTCAATGTTACATTCGTATAGGTTCTTGTACATAATAGAATTGACCTTTTAACTTTAAGACTTCTACAACAAAAAAAGGCATGATGTAAATTTATGAGGATAAAGGTGGAGGTCAAAGGAGGAGGAGACGCACTCATGGAGAAAGAGAAAGAAGCAATCACAGAGAAGAGAAACAATTAAAGAAACCAAAAACCACAACCCACTGGGGCAGATACATAACAATCTGTCTACAAGAATTTACTTCACTTTTAGGGGAAATATTAATAAAGAAGAAGAAAGGAAAATTGATTTCTTTTAAATTGATCTATACATCCATGTCAACATAATTACTAATTTTGCAACCAAATCGCATGTTTATTTTTTATTATGATTATTGCAACATTACACAAGAAACACCAAAGTTACCAACTTCCAAAGTCATCTCCTCCTATGTTACATGGATTCTTGAAAAATAAATCAAATATTAGATGTGTTGGACACCCAACACTTGGACGAGAGTGTGGGATGTGTCCTATATTTTCCATTGAACACTTCACATAATGGATTAGAACACAAAAAAATAACACTTCTTTTTGCCAAGTCTGTATGCCCTTAAATTTGAGTTTTGATAGGCCTGACCTCTAGATACGTACCCTTACCATCAACTATACCCAAGTTCATGTAACATAGATCTCTTCTACTACCAAAAAGTTTTCAATCCATTAAACAGAGAATGATGAAAAACAAATATCCTTCTGCCCTTTTTGTCCCCTTACAAGTAGAGAGAATCACTAGGATTCTCCAATACAAGGACATATTTTGAGTGCTACATTCAAACAGCTATTATTATATGAATGAAATTTGCTGCTGTATTTTGATCATGAAAAGACATAAAACTATTTGATGTAGGACAGCCAAAAAATAAAAATAATGTAAATGAAAGAGCAAACCACACCCAAAGAATAAACTAAATCTCAATAGTCAATAATAATATTCTTAATTCAAGTTTGCCCGGTTGAAACATAATGTCCTATTTTAGGCAACCAAAAAAAAAACCCTAATTTAAAATTTCCGAAGTAAAAAATACCACAATTAAAGACTGCAGGAGGGTCATATTTGAAATATGAAAACACAACCCAAATTGCCTTGGCCGGAAGAACACTTTTGAAAAAGGGAAGATAGGCACAATCCTAACAGAAATTAATCAAAAGTAAACCACAATTAGTGCATGAATCGACCCGCATGAGATCCACCATGCGAATCATAAGACCTTCAACGAGCTAGTCAAGGCAAGAAGATTATCCCCAAAACTAGCAAAATGAACTCACTGAGATGGCCCCAAAGGGTGAGGAAAAACCAACCGAGCTACAACCATCTGAGGTAAGACCAGCTGAGGTACAACCAGCTGAGATAAGACCAACTAAGGCACAACTAGCCAAGGTGAGGACAATTGAGGCAAAACCCTCTAAGGTGAGTGTAGCCCTTGAGGTAAACCAAATCCCCTTGGGGCTGATAGCAGAATTAGGGTATTGAAATATCGTGAATAAGTCAGAACCATGACTCTTACAAAGATGGAGAATGCGAGATTTGAAAGCAATTAGTCTCCTTCCCATAGATAAAATAAAATTATCCAGGCCAAAGGAGACCATCCAGTTGTAATGGCAAGACCCGAGAAGTCCCTAAGGCTTGGTGCATGGCATAGCCCAGCTTATACATGGCTGCATTATGACCCTTTGTCGGGATGATGGGAAGCTTATTGCTTGGTAGCTAAGAGCAGGGATTCATTGAAGTGGCTGCGAGTTTGGCTGATACAATGCTGTACTTCCTGAGTAAAGTCCTGAGATGGAAAGACCAAGGGAAGCACTCACACATCGAGGCCTAGCAGCAAGGGAAAAAATATACCCGCATGATCCGTAAGACACGTGGCATCACCCTATTGGCTACTTGACCACCTGTGAGCTAAGGAAACACACCCCTATAAATAGGGCTCATTTCCCACAGCTCAAGGGTGATAATTTAGGAGATTCCCATATCTTGAGAGAGCAATTCTAGGGTGCTCCCATATCTCGATACAAAGCGATCTTGGGGTTCCCAAAAGCTTGAGAGACACTTTGGGATCCTCATAGCCTGATGCTAAGAAGCACGGACACTTCTAGGAAGGTGACGTATCCGTGTCGGACACCGACACTCTTTGGACACTCTCAGGACACGTGTCCGACACTCTTCAAAACGTGTCCTATTGTTTAAAGACTTGGACACTTGAAGGACACACGTGTCAATCGTTTAAACACACGTGTCTAACGATTAGACATACGTAAAACTAATTATAAGTTTGAACAAAATAACTTAAGATACAATAATAAAATAAAAACCATATAAATTTATAAGAATTAGTGTCATATTGCATTTTTTATTATCTTTGAATGATATATTCATATATATATAACATATAAAAATATATAAAATTATATATTTCATGTGTGTCCTCATCGTGTCGTGTCCTGCATTTTTTGAAAATTAACGTGTCGGCGTGTCCGTGTCGTACTCGTGTCGTGTCACGTGTCCGTGTCCATGCTTCTTAGGCCTGATGTATGGTGTTTGTACGAGAAGTCGCATCACCAAAGAGGCGAATAATGTGAACAGTAAGTCAGAGATGGAGAAGAGAGTAGTTAGGTGAGAGTAGGGCAAGCAAATCAGGAAAGGTAATGGCAATGGAAACGCTTCCGTTTTCCCCATTTTCACTCTCTTATTGGGCTAGGAGGATCCCAAAATCACTCTCTCAAGCTTATAGGAATCCCAATATCACTTTCTAACGAGCTATGGGAACCCTAGAATCGCTTTTTCAAGCTATGTGTATCCCCAAAATCATCACCCTTGAACTATGGAAAATGAGCCTTATTTATAGGCATTTCCTTGGCTCACAAGTGGCCAAGTAGCCAATAGGGTGATGTCATGTGTCTCAGGAGTCACGTGGGAATATTCCTTTCCCTAGATGCCAGGCCTTAGTGGATGTGTGCTTCCCTTGGTCTTTCCATCTCAGGACCTTGTAAGTCCCTTGATAGCAAGGGCAGAGGCAGGGGGTAGGGAGCCTGGCCGTTGCTCAATTCTACAAGCCTCATGTAATATGTATAAGATAGTTGGAATTCATATAATATAATTCTACTTGGCCCTCCCAAATTTCTTGTATATTTCACTCATTTACTATATTTAAAAGAAAATTTTTATTCATACAAAAAACTCAACAAAAAACAACACAATAATTATGTGGCATTGTATTTTTTATAATTTAAGTCAACTTTATAGGTGTTTTATTTTAAAGTGAAAAGTCCACATTGATCCACATCATTCAATTGACAAACAACTCCCTTTTTTCCTCACCTAAATTTGCCTTCATTTTTTTTTTTTTTTTTTTTTTTTTTTTTTCCTTTTCCCTCTTTAGTCTTACTCACCTTCTGTAATATTCACATTCTAAATAGAGAGGTTTATAATTTAATTGAACCTATTAGTTATGATTATAAAACATTAAGAGGGGTTATTATAGTTGTTATGATAAACTACGGTTGGTTTAAGTGTAATTTAAGTAGTAAGGGAGGAGAATGCAAATAAAGGAAAAGACTTAGGATTGATTTCAAATTCTTAGCAGGTCACGTTCCTTGCATGCCTCACACCTAGCAACCCTCTGTTTTCTTATTACTTTGGCTGAACTACTCTTAAACAAAAATACAAAAAAAACAAAAAACAAAAAAGAAGAAGACAGAAGAAGGCTGGAACGAAGAGAAAAGGAAAAGGGAAAGAAAGGAAAGGAAAAAGGGGTAGCTTTAGAATCTGTAAGTAATTCCCATTATTTATCCATTAAATATATTAACCATGTTTGTGTAGAAATTATAATTCAATGAACTGAATTGCTTTAAGGTTTTGAATCTTGTGGTTTTTGAATCTTGTGGTTATTTATATACATGTGTGTGTATATATATACCTGATTATAGAGAATAGTTCTTATATGATTATTGTTCAATCCAATTAAATGTTTGACTGGGTTGGGATTATATTGTGAAATGGAATCACATCGGTAAGAATTTATTCTTGTTCTTTAGTAGTTATATTAAATCAATTTTTAAATTCCAATTGAATGAGAATTTGTTTATGGTGTGAGTGTTAAGGCTGGAAATTATCAAATAGATTATTTATTTATATCTAGTGTTTGAAATTGAAGCTTCAAATGCTGAATTTGTTATGTAGCAGTAGGTAATTAGTGAATACAAATTAGAATACTACTTAACAGCAACAATTTCTTTGCAAGTTCTGGAAAATTGTGTTTAATTGCTGAAATTATTTTAGGCATTGAAAATTGACGACTAATTGCTATAACTTGAGCTGTGTTTTCATTGATTTGCTGGGAATAGAATGTTTTTTATGTTGAAACAAGTTTGCGGGTATCAAAATGAAGCTTAAAAACTTGGAAAGAGAGTGAAAACAATGTTTGAATTTGAAACCTGCATAGAATAGGTAGCACTGTCAAGCTGAGGGAAAACGGGCGTAACTTTCTCTAGAAAACTCGAAATCGCGCACCATTTTTTTTTTTTTTTTTTTTTTTGGGGATAGAAACTGGACTTGGATATCTTTCAAATGGTGTAGGCCTTGCATTTTAATTCCAGCCGAGTGAATACAGATTTGAGTTCAGAGTTGACCCAAAAACTGCATCTAGAACTCTGTTATTAAACATACTTCGGGGGGACACAACTTTGTTGTCCGAACTTTGTTCTCTTCTCACGCGCTATAGTTCTGAAGCAATTTAAGTTCACTTTTCAATGTATCAATGTCACATTTAAATGTTCAGTATTTTAAAAGTATTTTTCTAACATGCACCTATGTCATAGTGTCATTGTTCAAACCTTGATTTCAAATCCAATTTATCTTAAATAGTATTATGACTTCTCTCTTTCATCA